GTATTGACAGTGTTTTTATTACAGAGTTGACAGTGTTTTTATTACAGTATTGACAGTGTTTTTATTACAGTATTGACAGTATTTTATTACAGTATTGACTATATTTAGTACAGTATTGACAGTGTTTTTATTACAGTATTGACAGTATTTTTATTACAGTATTGACAATGTTTTTAGTACAGTATTGGCAGTATTTTTATTACAGTATTGGCAGTATTTTTATTACAGTATTGACAGTGTTTTTATTACAGTATTGACAGTATTTTTATTACATTATTGAGAGTATTTTTATTACAGTATTGACAGTGTTTTTATTACAGTATTGACAGTGTTTTTAGTACAGTATTGGCGGTATTTTTATTACAGTATTGACAGTATTTTTATTACATTATTGAGAGTATTTTTATTACAGTATTGACAGTATTTTTATTACAGTATTGACAGTATTTTTATTACATTATTGAGAGTATTTTTATTACAGTATTGACAGTGTTTTTGTTTCATTTTATTTTTCATGGATCTATAATCAGTTTGGTACATAAATAAATAAGTATATACATGTATATATACAAATGAAATGTGTGTTTGTTTGTACCCTTACTCCTCCGAGTTTATTGGGCCAATCTCGACCAAAATGTGGGGAATGTGTTAAGGGGTCAAAATTGAACTTAACCCTATTTTTATTTTGTTAAACCTGTTGGTTAATTACTCCCAGCTTATAGAGCCAATGTCAAACAATCTTGGCAGGTTGACGCTTTAGACAATGTTGAATATTCTAAAGAGATTCAAGGTTAAAATATAAAAGTTGCTGGATTGTTTCTCAAACAACTCAAGTTTTTCTCATGGTCAGTGAGATGTAGGGTGTTCAAGGTTGAGATCACCTCAAAATCTTTATTTATTGGTAGCAGATGGAAAGCAAACTACAAACGTTGTTCATGGAGAAGCTTTGTTATAATTTTAAAATTTTGAGTTTATGTTCAACTTATTACTTTGAAATAAGTGATTATTTTTAAACTTACATTTTATTAAATAAGTTAAACATTCCCCGCCAGTTGACGGGTGTAAACGTTTACTTGTAGAGTTAAACCCTTTTTTTTTCGAAAAGGAGAAAAAATAGGAAAATCAGGCGGCGTTTTCAAAAGTTTCGAATTTTAAGGGATTCAATTTTCCTCGATTCTAATCGTTCATATTTACAACAAGGGTGTTTCTCTATATCACGTTACAAACTAATGATCTGCTCCATTTTAATGCTTATAGACTTGTTAATTTATTCGAATACTTCAGAGCTATGTACTTGTTCTATGTATATTGGCTCAGTCTGTAGATTTATAACACTAAAAACCGGGTTTCGATACCCGTGATGGGCACGGTGCAGATAGCTTTGTTTGTTTTGAATTTCGCGCAAAGCTACACGAGGGCTATCCGTGTAAGACTAGAGGGAAGGCAGCTAGTCATCACCACCCACCGCCAACTCTTGGGCTACTCTTTTACCAACGAATAGTGGGATTGACCGTCACATTATAATGCCCCCACGGCTGAAAGGGCGAGCATGTTTGATGTGGCGGGGATTCGAACCCGCGACCCTCATGATTGCGAGTCGAGCGCCCTAACCACCTACCTGGCCATGCCGGACCGCAGATAGCCCATTGTGTAGTTTTGCGCTTAACAACAAGCAAACAGTAGTTTTCCGTGACGCTGGGATTCCATATTTGACTTTTTATCCTACACTGGATGTCTCTGAATGGTGTTGTTTTTGCTGGAAAAACGTTTCTGTTTATATACACAATGTTTATTTTTTTATTTTTTTTCATATTGTGGTACGAGTTTAGAACATCGATTTTCAGTACATCGTAAGTCATGAGGAAAACAGTACTGCACAAACGCTAAAAGTGAAGGTATCCGCCGTGTGGTCGGTTATTTTTTAAGATGGATTTTTTTTCAGACTTGAGTTTGTGTTTGAAGAAGGGTGTGTTTCCACTGGGAGCGTGTTTGTGACGTAACCGGCCGAAGTGCGCGTGTGTGAGATAAGTCAGAACGTATATCCTGTAATTACTATCGGAAGATGTGTGATTTATTTATTTTTTCTAGATAGTGCTTTTAGTTAGCAACGACCTTCACTTTGGTGATCCTTCAAACACGCATTACACATAAATAGGCTTAAGAAAAGGGGCGAAACGAACAAGGTTCGTTCTCTCTCTCTCTCGTGCCATGCGCGTGGATGTCCTTCAACGTGCTGGGCATACGAAACACAGCAACTTACCCATACGTTACGAATACACCATAGATGATACCTCTCATCAGAGAAGACGAAAACAGTTCGGCGGATGACTGTGTCTGTTACTCAACGCTGTCACTTTACATCAGAATATACCGTGCTGCGATGCTACTGAGCGGGGGATGATTCACCCCCAGTTTTGCACGAGGTAGATCCCTATCTGAATACAGTGTTTTTAAGGAGGAGCCAAGATTATGAATAAGACTCTATTCTGAGTGAGCCAAACAGTATCGAAGCCTGGGTGACGCATATAGCGATGTGTAAGGCTTAGCCAGCCTGCCAGGGAGACATTCCAACCCTCAACGCTGGCAATACGCTGTACTAAGTTTGCTATTAGATAAATACTTGCCAAAAGTGTCTGAAGTCGTTGTGAAAGTTGGGCTCTTAGGAAGCACTCAGTTCTCAGTAGAAGGTTTGGAAAGGAAACAGACAGATGAAGGCAGCTTTAGCAGGCGTGTTCAAAGGGTTAGGCCCGGGGAAGTCTAGAAATAAGGCAAGTTTCTTTTCATTTTTGTTTATCACGTATAGAATGCATAATAGTGTTAAATGTTTACCTAAGATATATCTGTTCTTAACACGTCTTATATTTAGGCTTTGCTATATAGGCAAACTTAGAACCGACAGTTTATATCATTGGTTACAAACCCACGTAGATGGGTTTTGTAGATCGTAAACGTCTTTTGTGTTTCCTTATTTATATTATCAAACAAAGTGAGCCTATTTTGGGAGTTATGTAGGGTGATAAATATTACCGAACTAGCGGATGCACATTGAAACAATTCATTGAATAAATATAAAATATATAGTCAACCCAGACCCTTGGATCAGAGCTTATATATGCAACATGATTGTCTAGTGAGACGTTTACAACCTTATATATCATTTCAGTAATGAAAAATGCATTGCGTATGTTTTTAAACGAAGAAGACTGGCTGCAATACATTGTTGACAAAAATGTTTGGGTTTTGATGCAATGGGTAAATCTTCAGCACAACAGAGCGCTCAGGTTCACTATGTAGCCAATTGAAGTTTTTCCGCTGGATGCCACAGTTCCTTGACATTTTACTAAGCGCAAGAAAAGACCGCTTCCGATGTGAGCGTGTTTTGACAGTTATCATTTGTATAAGAATAGTGTCAAAGGAGAGATATTCAATTGAATTGAAATCAAATTATTCTATCTTATTCTATATAAAATCATGTATAATACCGACATGAAAGAACAAGTTTTAAAATATGCCCTTTTTTCCATTCACGCTTCTATCTTCGAAACATTTTTTTCAACCAGTCTACCTCGGATGTCTCGTTTTTATCGTGACATTCTCTCACAAAAAGAAACTTTTTGTTCTTAAAACTCTTTTCTTCTCAGATTCACCGTTCATACGAAAACTGACGGATTGGCATTGATATCGAGCGTGAAAGACGTCTGGCTATTACATGTATTGATTACGCATATCATACTGACAGTTTACAACAGAAATTTATAATCAGAATATGTTTAAAAGCGTATTCACCTGGCAACAAAAGCGCGGTCTGAACACGTCTTGGCATAATATTTTTATTTGTTACTCTGCTCCCCCCCCCCTCTGTGGCATAGCGGTATGTCTGCGGACTTACAACGCTAGAAACCGGGTTTCGATACCCGTGGTCGACAGAGCGCAGATAGCCCATTGTGTAGCTTTGTGCATAACTACAAACAAACAAATTTGTTACCTCCTTCATGAAGATAGGGGCCTGGCGATCGACTCGCAATCTGCGGGTCGCGAGTTCGAATCCCCGTCACACCAAACATGCTCGCCCTTTCAGTCTTGGGGGCGTTATAATGTGACGGTCAATCCCACTATTCGTTGGTAAAATAGTAGCCCAAGAGTTGGCGGCGATGACTAGCTGCCTTCCCTCTAATCTTACTCTGCTAAATTAGGGACGGCTAGCGCAGATAACCCCCGTGTAGCTTTGCGCGAAATTCAAAAGAAACAATCATGAAGATAGTATATCAAAATACAAAAAGTTCCTTGAGTACAATAGATGTACAGAAACAAAGCTGTTTACGTCTTAAAACAAACCCAAACAACATGAATATGCAAACCTACCGTCAACTTATCGTGGTTAGAAAACCTAACGAAGAACAAATATGAAAACCTGGGGGAGAGAGAGAGAGAGAAAATAAGGGGAAAAAGTGGGGGGGGGGGGCGAAACCAGGAGGGGGATACTTGTTCCCACGTTGTCGCAAAGTAGTAAAATGTTTCTCTATATAATCAAAAATATGACAAAGTCTACAAAACAGCAATGTAAGGCTGTTTGTATATGCCAATATTCTTATTGATAATGGCTGGAGATAGCTTGAATGGGTAATGAAGAAAAACTTTAATATAAGTTTAACATAACAGCAAATGTACAACGTTTCGACAAGGTTTT